TACTCCATTGTGCATGATGTCCAGGCAGAAGATACGCACCGTATCTTTTTACCGTCGATATTTATGTTATTAGACCTCCGGCCACTTCTTTCAACAATGCTCTTCTTTATCATGCTAATTAAGAAGGAAATAATAATCTTCAATAATGTGTTTCTTTATTGATATGTAATGGTTTTGTAGCCAAACCCGTCGGACGTTCACAAACGGTCACGTTTCGTTATTTAAGACAGCTAACAATGTTTTCTTCTATATGATAACAATTAAAAGATCAAAGACTTAATGAAGTAATATAATGATAAAATACTAATATAATAAAGTATTTTCAGTCAGCAAACAGGAGTTTCATTTGTACATTTTCTTCTCGTCGTCTTTGGACATATTTTGTTCAATTTTTTACAACCGCACGTTTTGGGCAAAAAATAAATAACATAAACTACAACTAATTTCACTAATTTCGTGGTCCGCTTGACCAATTAATATGTTACAATTAATCAAGGTTTTTAGTTGAGATAAAAAAGTCAATGGCACGAGCGGGATTCGAACCCACGATCTTCGGCTTGATACGCCGCTGCTCTACCACTTGAGCTATCGTGACCTCGANAGAGAGAGAGAGAGAGAGAGAGAGAGAGAGACAACAGATTACGAATTGCGAGGTTGGAATTTTTATTTTTTCAACTTTAAACACTAAACGCTTTGTAAATTTTGCCCTACTATACACATTGCCAGCCTAAAAACCACTCAATTTACAAAATTCCTAACCACATATCCTCCTTTTATTTCACCAAATTCGCTTATTAAATCATTGGAAAAAAGACAATTTATTGTTTTAAGACCCCTCATCAAACTCGAAAATACTTCAATGATTGGTTTCTTCAGTTTCCCATGTGTGTTTTCAGTAGAATAATAATCACTCCTTCATCAAGTGATTTATTAGGATTACAGGGGCCTAACAAAAACAGTTTTATAAACAAGTTGCCGTATTCGAACCACTTAAACATTTATATTTATAGTTAATGTACACTATTTAACCATCGCAGCCGGGGGTTTCAAAAGCAAATTAATTATCGCTTTTTAACATAGTCAAGGACTTGCCTTTCCACAAATATTTTTCTTCGCCCGCAATAACCTACCCAATAATTCTACTGGCGGAAAACAACTTCTGTCACGATTTTAAGAAATAACCAGTCCAAACAATTCATTTTGTAATTAATGACGATTTTCCAAGACGTACGATCTATTTTCGGACATTTGTTTTTTCAACATTACTATATTTTTAATTTGGCCGTTACTGATCATTTTGGTCGTCTTATCTTTCCTGTTTTGGTTAAGACGCGCTAATACGGCGCTTGAGATATTGCTTAAATGCGGTTGTTGCTCGGTGCAAATCAACTTCAAAAATCGGAACAAGTGACCAAGACACTCTCTGTGTCCTCAAGCACGATTCTCATATTTGGTGGCTCTTTGTGGGATAACAAAAACAAATATAGAATCCTCCATCGCAGAATGGATCCAAACAAAACAAAAGGAGAAGTAGATAAACTATACCGGTGGTAGACATAGTAAACTTATGATGAAACAACCCTCAACAAGACTGGCAAAAGCACTCCTGCAACTGGAGAGGGCCAAACTCAGAGGAGTGGTAGGACTACTAACCGGTCATTGGCATCTCAGAAAAAATCTACACAACATAGGTCTATACATCGATGATCCCATTTGCAGATTATGTAATGAGGAGAAGGAAACAGCCACCCATATCATCTCAATGGAAATTTAACCTCACGTCTGGAAAAAACTTAGGGAATCAAATTGCAGCAGCGATAGTCAATTACCTCATACTTCTAAGGAGAAAGATTGAGTCTATTGCACTGAACTAAGTAACAAGGAAGGTATAATAATCCAGAAGGCTGCAGTGCCTGGGGAGCGCAAAACCCGCTTCCTAGTATCCTTTTTTACCATACCATAGCATACCATACACGCTCATTGTATAGCGCCAAGGAATTGCACCCTTCAATTACATAGGACACGTCGAGCAACCTTTCTCTACATGCCAGACACAAAAGGCTTTGGCCCAAAATTAAGTGTCAGTGTCAACATTGCAAGGCCTATTCTTAATTCGGTAAGGATGACCCTTATTCATGTCCTCCGAGGGTTACTCATCAATAATAAGCGAGTTTATCTTATGCATTTTGCCTTTTTGTTTCTCTCGCAGCTGAGTTAAAAACAATTATCTTACATTAGTTCCGATGTATTTTATGACGATAAATTTACGTTTTGATTTTAAGTATTTTAGGTAAAGACGATATATATTATAAACCTTGATTCTGTTTAATTGTAGAGTTGGCTTGTTTGAATTTATTGATGTAAACCGTTTTAAACTTTGTAAAATATTTACGCCAATGAGATTTGTCGGAGGATTTATGCACTTTGTGGTGCGATTTCTAGCTTGTAAAGGTTAATTTGTAAGGCTTTTAATAGGATTGCAACCCACTTGAAAACAACTTAAGTGTAATTCACATTTATCTGTAAAATTAGTCTGCCTGGTTCTTGCGCCGTGTAATTTCTCTTCGATAATTGGTTTATTTAGTCTTATTGTCGTTGTGTTTTTCCACCTTGTTTCTGAATAAAAGGAAGCCGGTTAAACGTATACCGAGCCGAGTTAATGTCTCCTAATGATATAACAAGCCTAGTGAAAATTGTCTACGAGGCCTCAGTAAGAAATATTTAATTCGCCACCAGTTAAACTAAACTCGGCCATTATCATGTTAAGGCACATAACTCCCCGTTTGATTTCTTTATGATATTCCATTAAAAGTAATTCTGTACGGCAGTAAACAAACATAGCTCACGCCGAGGAATTAATAACGTCAGCTGGCATAAATAAAAGGGATGAGGCGACACGCTGTGATAATGTACAATATAACCTCGTGAGTTACAACACTCACCGGACCCGGAGTCTGTTTTATATTTCGGCTCTCTCAGCTCCTCAAAAACATGGCTACCACTAATTAAATATATCAAATCCGATAAATCTGCTATTCATTGAACACGGCCGACCGCGGTTGGTTGTCTTTTTCGAGGAAAAAAATTGAAATTTATGGAATTCTTTTCATATTTTGTAATTGAGTATCTACAGAAAAGAGGAGAAACTCGTCCTGTCAGCAATGGACACTAGTACAAGAACAGAACTAATAAATCATTTTTAATATATTAAAAATATTTTGTTATAGTAATAAAGATAACAGATAACTAATAACTACTAGAAAACCTACGAAGTTGAAAAGAGTAGAATGATAAGTAGCAAAGTCTGTCTGAATTTGTCAAAAAAAAAAACGTAAAAAAATAAGGAAAGTTTGAAAGGTTGGGTTGAAAGGGAAGTTCAACCGAGTGGTTCGAAGTCACGATAGCTCAAGTGGTAGAGCAGCGGCGTATTGCCGAAGGTCGTGGGTTCGAATCCCGTTCGTGACACTGCCTTTTTTATCTCAAGCAATACCTTACATAAAAATTAATTAACTGAAAGAGGTTATTTGGTATTAAATTGAAAATTACAACATTAAAAAAGGCAAATAAAAAGTCAATTAATTAAAAATGATTTTAACGACAAATGCTAAAACAATAATATTTACTCATGCTATCCTAGGAATCTTTTAGGAACATTTTTTACGTTAATATTTCGATCCATGTTTGAAAAATGAGTTAAGGCACTGGCTTTTTTTATCTTAACCAATACCTTACATGAAGTTGATTGAAAGATGTTATTTGGTCAACCGGACTACGAAATCTAATGAATGTAAAAAAAAAGATTCAACCCTCAATACATACCGGATTGTATTTACTTCAAACTCTCAAGTCACAATCATTCAATATCTGGTACTGGTTCAAAAGAAAAAAGGGTTTGCTTAAAACATGACAGAACGAAGGTAGTCATGTCGGATTTATCAGAGGGTTTACTGAATCAGTGAAAAAAGATCATAAATCACTCTGGACGGCAGCTAAAAACCTCCTACTTACCACAAAATTTTACCTTTCCCTAACTTCGTCTTGCACTTGCTCAATTATAATAACATTCATTGTTACTTCATTTATTTACTGATACGACTGGTTACTTGTTAAGTAACTATTTGATTTGACTAATTAAAGAGATTTAAAAAAGTGATTTTAAAGATTTAAAAAATATTGTTTTTATTCACATATATGTTATGTTTAATGTATGTACCAAACGAATTGAACTATTCTCTGCCATGCGTTCAACCTATTTTACGGTCGTCATCAGAGCGAAATATCCAAGGAGGGTTGTCCTGATACAAGGGCGGTAAAATTTGCACTGCATTCGGTGATGGAACAATCGGAAGCGCACTGTGGAATCATCGAAAGTGGTTCAAAAAGTTTAAAAACATACCCCCCACCAAACCAAAAACATCATCTTTTGTAGGCGAATATTCGGTTTTCGCTTCAATAGGACAGGGTCGTTTGATGAGAAGCAATGGTCCAACGAAAAGCACATTTTTAGAACCTGAAGCTTGCTATCGTCGTTCAATTAATGAGAAACCTATTTGCTCGGCTTTCACATCTCCCAAAGACGACGTAAGCTGGAATAAATGTTTTCGACATTTTCGTTGAACACTTTGGCAAGTTTGACACGAATCAAGTTCTGTAACTTCATTCAATACCTCGACCTTCAGGAAAGAGAGATTACCAGACCGTTATTCATCTTTTGTCTCCAAGCTCGTTGAATTCAATTCCAATAGCAAATAAAAACCTCATGAACATTTCTGGCTACTTGGTAATTACTTGTTTGTAATTGTCTTGAATGTAACTACACATGTTATAAGAAATAAATTAATATTACATTAATTTAAAAAAGCATAAATAAGTTTAATATTGAATTTTGGGCATTCATATAAAATTATCATAACAATTATACAATTGCATGTAACTTTGAACTAAATTTTTCTATGACATATTTTACAGGCCGTTGAACAGCAGCGTCATAGTGTGACAAGATGGATTTAACTGTCATGTGCCGTTTCAAGGCTTCTGCTATCGCCTTCACGCACCGAGATTTCGACCTGGCACAGTTGGTAAGTGTGATCCGATGTCTTCACAACTAGAAGATGGTTAGTTGTGTTTTCGACGACTTGCATTCTATGATCTTTTTCTTCCACTGATCAACAAAACGGTTACAGAGATTGTTCCTTTTGCTTTTGTTCGCCGTTGAAATCAAACCGATAGTCTACGAGGACAAATACGAGGCGAACTTGGCCCAGCTACCACTCGACAAACTGCTTCACGTCAAGAACTCAATCGACTCAGACGGTTTGTACTGGTTAATATCATGCTATATTGTCAGGTTGAACTTGTATGCTTTTTTTCATTAGACGTCATAAAGTCCCTTGGGGATTTAGATATTGAATCTGAAAACGACGAGAAGGTGAATCAAGAACCGGAATTTCTCAATGCTGCATTACCGCTTAAGGGGGATTGGTTCAAAACTAAGAGCAAAAAGGAAAAAGACAACGCTTTAAGAAGAGACGGATGGTATGAAAAAGAAGGTAATAATTACTTAATATTATATTACTATACATAATTAATATTATATTTTTATTATTATATATTATTTGGATTTATGCAGGCTCAAATCCGAACATGTATTGAGCCTTCGGTTCTCGTAGTCCACCGTATATTCCTGATTTTGCTATTTACAATGCCAGCAGACTCGAGAATCATCGACCCCTGGGCCTGGTCAGACCTCTCCATCCAGCTATCGAGGTTTTGCTCTTAGGGGAGAGGGGGTGCTGTCAACAGCCAAGTAAATTCAGCACCCACCACATGCAGTTCCAAACCCATTCGTACTCACGTTCATTCTTAAATACATTCACTCCTATTTACATACCATTCATTAAATTAGGGTAATAACTCGATATTCTTCCATCTACCTTTACTCATATTATACAACTAACCTAATGGATGGTCGATGGGTTGCTCGATATTCCGCCATCAATCCTCCCACATTACATTCACGCTAATAAATGCATTCACTCTCAACACAAACTGGGTATACACATCTATTTTTACTATAATACCACGTTTCCTCCAAAAACCGGGACCAGGGACCGAAATTCTCGCTGTAGTGCTCTTACATCTTACATCAGTCTATCGTGGTCTCCTGTTCTCGCTAGTGAGCTAGGGAGGAGACTAGTAAGTACATTGTATATCTAACGCTTTTACAAACCGATTTTCAGGTGGCTTTCGGCATTTCCATTAAATCAAATTGACTTGATAAATACGCAAAGAAAATGTAGGTTACCACCTGAAAAACAACAATTTCCTCTTTAACGTTTTTAAGAAACAGAAAAACTGTTATTATTATTGCAATGTTGAAAATATTGCTTATGTTAAGAAGAATACTATTCAAAAAAAATTTCTAGATTGAGTAGTTTTTGTGAAAATCAGGGAGAACATCAGTATGATGAAACTTTGTATTTCTAGCGCTTTTATGTTTTTATGAACCGATTTTCAAATGGTTTTCACCGTCTTTCACCAAAAAAAAAAAATGTTGGTCCCTTTGCAAATAAAAATATAAAGTACGGTTTAATAACGGTTTGAGTTGTTTTTGAGAAAACTAGGAAGAACATTAGTATGATGAAACCCTGTATTTCTAGCGCTTTTATGTTTTTATGAACCGATTTTCAAAATGTTTTCACAATCTTTCACGAAACCCAAAAAAAAAAAAAAAAAAAGTTGGTCACTTTGAAAATAAAAATGTAAAGTACGATTTAAAAAAAACGTTTTAGTAGGTTTTGAGAAGTCTGAGGGAACCGTATTAAGTTGACACTTGTATATACGTAATTGCACAATCTTTCACCAAACCAAAAAAAAAAAAAAAATGGTCCCTTTGAAAATAAATTGTTAAGTACGATTTTAAAAAAGGTTTTAGTAGGTTTTAAGAAGTCTGAGGGAACCGTAATAAGTTGACACTTGTATATACTTAATTTCTTTTAAAAGTCTTCTGCCAACACAGCGTCCTTTTCCATTGTTCTCGCATGGTCAAAATTCAAAAAACACGTTCAAAACGATGGGATTATTTTGGAGACAGTGTTTAAACAGAACAGTACCAGGTCTACCTTTATAGTTGCAGGTATACCCATGTGGCTTAGGTCTTTCAAGTACTACATATAAGGACTGTTTATATTGGCCTTAGTACACAGTGGGGAAATTAACTTCTTTTTTTTTTGTAGTATGTCATTGCATTTTTCACCAGATTCTTGAGTACTTTCTAATTTTTAAAAAAATTCATTCTTGTTGAATTGGTACACTATTGTGTACGTAAGGTACTTAAGGTGGATTTTCTGCACCCTCTTGACAAAACTGGATAAGTCAAAATTTGGTATATTTGAAAAGTGCATATTTCGATAAATCCTTAGGCCAGGCATTTTTAGATATGTCGAAAAATTATATCAATATTTTGTTAATTGTACTTATTTTTTCTCGAATAACTTATATACCGTTTTACTACTTTGAATTTAATGAAATTTAAGCATAAAACAAAAGCTTAACCAAGCTTCTCTTAATGGGCGTAACAACATGAAAAAAATTACATGTTAATTATTTAAATTTAAATTACATTAATTTAAAATTACACATTAATTAAACATTATTTCAATAAATATTTTAATATACAAAAATAATTTGATAGAACTAGGGAGTGAGTTGCACCTCTGTAACAACTAACATTTCATAGACTTCATTTTTTTATCTTCATTTTTTCAGGAAAGAAAGGCAATATAGCATCCATTTTTCAATCGACGATCACGATTCTTTCGTTTCTGGCTTTCGGCGGCTACCTTCTCTGTATGATTTGCATGGCGATCCGCAACAACCAGGGGGTTATGGTTCCAACGACGGCCGCTCCGTCGGCGAATATCGTCCTGACCGGCAGAAAGAGGAGGGCCATCGACGATTCGCCGGTGATGCAGGATATTTTCTACTCGCTCACCAAGTTGGCAGAAGGCTACGCCAAATATCAAGAGGGAAGACGGAAATAGAACAGCCAGCCGCCCCGGAGGATGTTTACCGTAGAGACCATATCGTAATTGCTCTTTTTGCCCAGATTAGTGTGAAGTAGTTTTATGCTCTCTGCACCGGTGACTCGACGACACGGGTCACACGTCCACGAAACGCCCCCACATACCACATATAACTGTAATACGAGGTAGCACTTCAAACGCTTCTTTATTCCAATGCGAATGAGCTGAAAACTGACATCGCCATGACGTTAAAGAGGTAAATTTACTTATTCTTTAAAATAGTAGTACTACAAGTACAAACTTAGGAAAATAGATGTTTCGACCTTTACTCGGGTCACCTTCCAGACCTGGATGAATTACAAAACATGTGTCACCGTGTCTATTGTGTGGATTGGAAAACATACAATACAAATTTAAATATAATTTTTTTTAACCAAGTATTTCATACTCTCATAAAGTGTGGTGCTATTCTTGTATTGTCTTATCGGTTTTGTGTTAAATTGTTGTGAAACGTGAATTTGTATTTGCATTGCATTGTTTCTATATGATTGGGACAAGGTGGGGCCCCGGTAAATTTTCTTTCATAATAGGCGGTTTTATTTATCTCAAAGGAAGTTAAGAATCGAGATTTTCTGAATTGGATTTGTGATTCGGGTTAATTCAATATTGGAAAGGTAGTTAATTATTAAGGAGGGTAACGAAGGAAGGGATATATAAAACATAATAATTAATAATTCCCGTATTAGTGTGGGCTAATTCTTGCATTAAATACTATACCTTGTACATCCTTGCTGTTCTATGGTACATTACCTGCGTCTGTTGGGGTTTTATTCCTTTCACAGACCCGTTGTGTACCCACAGTTCTTGGATGAGGGCTACATCCACCCCCCCCCCGGTTAAATCTCCTCCATAGTGTGGGAGATGCAGCTGGAGCAAAGCAACATGCTGGAGGTTGTACTGAAATGCCCTTATACGTGTCCTATCATTTGGCCGAAGTGGATGGAGGAACCCTACGTGGGATATCTTCCACCATTTGCTTTGGTTGGCCTTGAATCCTTTTTAGAAGACTCGTGGTAAGATCCCTTCACGGCTATTTGCCGTTAAGTGGATGTATTTCGGTTTGACAGTTCTGCCTGGTTGGGTGGCCTCCGGGCCTGTCCCGGGTGTTTGGTTCTTTCCTTTAATGGGTTCCATGAGCACTGCACACTATGGTAAGCGTGGACACATTCGCATTACAACTTGCATTAGGGTCGCCATGGCCCTTGAAGTCTGCCTCGATGCACCAGCTCTTTCCCTGTGGGGTGCGGACAGCATCGAAGTGTTTTCCAGGGGGCACTGCGTGGAAGTCGGAGTTGGTCTTGCGAAGTATTTCCAATACTTGTAGCTGGACCTATAATTATTCAATACAATTCATATAATTAATTTTATAAATTACATCGTATTTGTAGGCTGCTAGGGTTTGGAATGAATGGTGAACTGTTTTGTGGTTTTTTGAAAGCTATTTTAACGTGTCCAAAGAAGAGAATTTTACCTAATTTATGTGACAATGTATGAAGTATTGGAATGGACATCTCTCTCTCTCTCTCTCTNACTTTCTCTCTCTCTCTCTCCGCTTAATATTTAATAGCTATGGGTGATTTTAATATTATGTAGTATTTTAAATAGTTTAGTATTAATGTTATTAAGAAAGACAAGCCTTGTGTTAAAAATTAATTATAGTTGTCATCTAGGGTCTTGCTTTTTCAACTCAACCAAAACCTTAAATTAAAAGTATAATTAATTAACTTAATTAATACGATCAATTACGACTACTAAGTACATATATGGATTAATATTGTAACAATTTTAAATAGCTTCAGCCTAAAGCCATCTATCCAAGCAAAAACATGGCATGCCACTATGACAATATTTTTCTAAATCCTCTGTATACTATTCAAAAACTATTCATAACATAAGCTCAGGTCACCTAGAGGTTCATTCCTCCTTCGATCTGAATCTTACTGTAAACACTATATTGATCCGTCATTTAAAAATAAAGGAAATACAGAACAGAAATATGCTTTTCTTCTTCCCCGACATAGGTCGGAGCTATGTAAGTGAAATTAAAAAGCCTTGTTGAAAATTATGTTTTCGAGGGCACTATTCTACTTAAAGTTGTGCTTGTTGTAATCAACAGGTTTAGTACATTACATAACATTTTCTTACGATTGGGACTTTAGCAGTCATTTTGGCCTATTTTTGCTTGGTTAATCTGGAAGACAAGTGTTGGCATTTCGCGGTCTTTAATGTGCTTCACCTGTCTGGAAAAATCTCACAATTTCTCCTAGTTTTTTATTTTAACTTATACATAAGTAAATTCACAGTTAATGTATAAAATATAAATAAAAAATATATTTCGCTTTTATTTTTTCAAGAATCCAAATTAGGGGCGTCGGTGGCCGCAACGGTTTAGGCGTTGACACGGCGCTCATCACTGTAAGGTAAAGGTGTCGGGTTCGAATCCATCGGCCCTGCATTCGAACCCGACATACGTACAAATGGGCTTTTTTTTAAACACCGGCACCCCGAGGGTTGATATAACTTTTGCTGTTGCGAACCCTCGTTTATAAAAAATCCAAATTATTTATAAGTGTGTGGTGTTTAGTGACCGTTAGCCAATGATTATTTGGAGATCGTGAGGTGCGGTCTGGTATGACGTAGGTTTTCGAAAACCATTTTCTTTATCATGTCAACGTTTCAATCTTTATTGAGATCATCTTCAGGGCCTAGGATTTACCAAAATTGTTTACATATAACAATTACATTTTTCACATAGTCTAATTTCGTGCCCACACGACACACAAAAATGACACATCTACAAGAAAAATAAACACTTTGAGCCTTGAAGATGATCTCAATAAAGACCAAAACGTTGGCGTGATAAAGAAAATGTTTTTCTAAAACCTACATCACGCCAGACCGCACCTCAAGATCTTCAAATAATTATTTAAAAGATCACGTTTGCCATTTTTTTCAATAGCTATTCAAACAAACCTTCATGGTAAATCATCACTTACCTGTGATTTTTTTTAGGTACGGGCGGTTTTCATCTCAACTAACGTTGCTATTACTTTTGGCAACGAAATGTGCCGAAGCTGTGTTCAACGAAGTTCCAGTCAAGTCTGAGTTCGAATCACCTGACGACACACCGAACGCTCAGCCGTTTTTATTCAACCCGACAGGTTCGTTAACGCCATTATTTCATAGCTCTTTACATAAAAAGAGCTCGTATAAACTCCAATATTAGAAACTTGCCAGTGATTTGTTATTTCTCTCCGACTTGTAGGGCGTGAAAGGTGGTGGACATTAATAAAAGGGGCGACTTGTAAATTATAAGTTTTAGATTTATTTTACAAACCGTTGCCTTGTGTAACCTGTAATAGGCTGAAATTACATGATTTATAAGAGCATAAAAAAAGAGGATGGCAGTGAGGAGATGCCAGAAGTCTAAAAGTAGCGTTCAGATCGCAAAGATTAAGCAGATTATATCAGATTAGCAACATAACTTTTGGTGGACATCATTCAGCATCGGCGGATAATAAATTTTATGAGTATAACACTGCCGCGAGAGTTTCAGGACTAAATCCTCTCAACCAACAATAGTGTTATGTAAAATAAAATATTTAGTTAGCCCGGCGTAAATAGAATGCTCAATAAAAATTTATTCCTTATGTAAATTGAAAATTTAAGTTTTAAGTTTTCTTTGACTCATCTTTTTGATTTCTCCTAACTCTCTGGTTATTTAAAAATTTGGTTTTCTGTTCAGGTGGAATTTGGGAAACAGCAGCAAAAGCGGTTGCCAAATTGGTCAGTTCAAACTTCCCCGTTCCACCACCGAGGCAAGCCGGCTCAGACTTTATAAGTAATATTTTGAGAATACTTGGTCTGGATCAGTCCAAACTAGGGGCCATCGCTTTGAACGCTTTGATATTCCTTGCTCACGTGGTAAAATATAAAAGTACTATCAAATCACTTTTTCTTGTAAATATATCTTTTTTTCCGTTTGATTGCAGATAGGTAGTACAATTAAAGGGAAAACTCCTCTAAAGCCGAGCGAGGAAGATGACATCGGTCCGCAAGGCAATCCTTTGACTTGGACCTTCATAGATTTTCCAAATGAAGTGAGTAAGAAAAGCACTACATAATATAGTTTTGAACAATAATGCAATAATATAACAAGCCATTTTTAAATGCATTTTACCATTTAAAATACAAATGAGGCGTGCCGTACCCATAAAACGACATCCGTCTATCCTTATAACAAATCTTTCAATAAATAGTTAATTTTTATTTTTATTAGGTAATACAGCCAAAATCTGCTAGATAATTCAAATTAAAATACAAACAAAAACGAAAAGAGATCGTGTGGAGAAGGTATTCATCGATGGTACTACTAAATTAGAAATCATCATATCACCCGCACAACACTGCCTTTTTAGACATCGAGGTGGATTGCAGGGAAGAGATAGGGAGGAAAGTTGTTGTACGTGAGGATTAATGTAGGCTTGGTGGTTAGTGTGGAATGTTTAGTACCTGGATTTTACAAGTTCTTTTAAAAAGGGACAATAGAGGATAGTATAGAAGTGTCATAAGAGTATGTTAGGATAGTGGTGTATGGATGGAAGGGATGCAGCAGTATAAACTGAGAATAGTAGCGGCCCCAGGACGCTACACTGTGGGAGTACCGCGTCAACCCTGTACAAGGGAGAGTGTGAAGATCCGCCCCAGACTCTAAAGGACACTGTCGGACAGGTAGGATATAAGGATGAGCTAGTATCAGAGGGTAGATGCCCTTGAGTTTCCAGACCAAACCTGATACTTGACTCAATCGAAAACCTGTTCGACATCGAGAAAGAGACCTGCATTTTTTCTTCTCACGGGAGGTAAGATAAAGACCACAACACGATGGCCCTGTAATAATTAAATAGTGATTACATTTTTTTCTATAAATGGAAGTTGTCAACTTGCTAGTTGTTATAATTGAAAACACCTTATGAGAAATTAAGGCTTTAATTAGCATAAGAAATACATGTACGTACAGAAACAACACACTACAAAATGATCACGCTGGTTACAAGCTAAATAAACAATAATCGATTACTAGACAGTCGATTCTATATCACTAGTGTACCCCGTGGTTTGAAAAAAAAGTGTTTTAATCACTTATTGCACCATTTTTCCCGAAAAATATTTTATAGCACTGTAAGGCCAACACATGTTACAACCATATACAATTAATAATAGAGGAAGTACAAAATATATTTTTTTATTTTGTAGCCTTTAAAATTAGATTTGCTAGACGACCACATGATTATACGAAAATTCTTGAAAAGATAGATGTACATCATTTCAACAGACCACTTTCAATAGAAAATATAAGAATATACCTAGATTTGACATTTTTGTATAAAACTCTAAATACAAAAGATGATAATACACAATTTCAATTAATTAATCTTTACATAAGGTATTGGTTGAGATAAAAAACTAAGTGTCACGAGCGGGATTCGAACCGAAAATTGGCAAAAAAAAGAGGGAAAATTCATAAGGTTGGGTTGAGATGGGAAGTTGGTGTCCGAGTGGATCGAAGTCACGATAGGTCAGGTGGTAGAGCAGCGGGGTATTTAGCCGAAGATCTTCGGTTCGAATCCCGCACGTGACACTGGCTTTTTTATCTCAACCAATACTTTACATAAAGATTAATTAATTGAAAAAAGCTATTTTGTCAATCGGACCACGAACTCTAATGGATACGATACAAAATATAACACAAGAATAAATGTTTATCTGGATCTCGGGGTGGTCTGGATGAAAAACTAAAATGCACATTACATAAGGAAAAATGTGTGGTGATTAGTGACCGTTAGTCGATGATTATTCAAAAATCGTGAGATGCGGTCTGGTGTGACGTAGGTTTCAGAAAAACATTTTCTTTATCGTGCCAACGTTTCGATCTTTATTGAGATCATCTTCAGGACCTGGGATTTACAAATATTGTTTAAATTTAACAAATACATGTGGGATGTGGAAAAAAGTGAATTTATACAATGCAAAAAATAGATTTTTTATATTCAAACAAAGTATTTCTACTCACTCAAAGTGTCTGTTTTCTGCGTACGATTTTTGAATAATCATAAGGAAAAATGTTTATCTGGATCTCAGTACGGTCTGGATGAAAAACAAATTCCATTGTTATCTGCCAAGTTTCTACGTTTTTAAGGTCATCATCAGGCAAAACAATCTTAAAGAGTCTACGAATTGACTCAATTATGTTTTTAATAAATGATTTCAAATTTCTTTGAATATAGCCTCATTGTCAGTCCCAACATTGCCAAGGACTGTGAACAGCCTGTATTCAAAAGTCTTATCTTTTCATCCAGTCCTTACATCTATCACTTTAAAAAAAAATATTTATAACAACTGGGCAAAACTCCGATAGATCAAAGGAAATAATGAAGTTCCCTCAATCTAACAACTTACGAAAGGACATGAACGACCAAATACGGTTGCACAAAGCGAACAGTGAAATTTAAAAGTGACAAAAGAGGGGGGAGAAAGTCCCAAATATAGCACAAACTAGTTAAAACATGAATTTAATTAATTTACATGTTATAAAATCAAGTGTCTTAAAGCTAGATAACAACAATAATAATAAATAAAATAAGGAATTATTTTTTCTATTTTATTGTTCTTAATGATTAGTAGTATGATCTATGTGCCTGATGTTCTGCTGTATCAATCTGTTCGCCTGTTTTACCGAGGATAGCGTGGAACAGAAACGCGTCTACGTCCTGACTGAAAGAGAGTTGAAGCGGACCAGCGATGATCGAAATTTCATAAATTAATCAATAAATCGTATAATATTATAATTTCGCACTTGATACTAAGGTACTGAAGGTACTCTTATTCAAAATGATATTTTTTCAGGCTCGAGAACTGGTGAGAGCAGCACAGGAGAAAAGCCTGCCCGAGAGATTGATCAAGCTGCTCCGAGATGGCGCGACCGGTGAGACGGACTGCGTTCAACTTCTTCTCTGCAGGTCCTCCCCGATCATCTGGGCGATGCAGAAGTCCCTTTACAAACCTCCAGACCCGTCATGGCCCAGGCTGATGCCCTTGGAGAGGATGTTCGCCTACTTCCCGACCCTTGAGGAAATCCTGCAGCACGCGGCGACGTGCAACGTACGATTTCCTTCGTGCAATCACAGGCATTCGCATCTCAACTATGACTGAGCAGAGACACTATCTCAAGTGGAATGAAAATATGCAATTATAATTACAAGAAAACGATGAAACACTTCTTTTTTAAGTGACAACTCATGCGGATAGTGAGACATTCATAAACATTTAATAATTTAGCTAGAATTAACTTAATTAACTCCATCAAAACAAAATTTGAATATTTATTTTTTAAAGGGTAATTTTTAAAGGGTATGCTACAACTCGTTAGTCTTTCCAGTTGTGGTTTTTCTTCTCGTTCTCATTGTTAACTGTTCTACCATATAATTATAGTACTAGTGTCCTCGATTGCTTATCTGAGTAGTTAGAAATTTTTTTATAATATATATTTTGTCACATTTAGTTATTGACTATTACATTAGTGTTTTTTTGCATTTTGAGCTAGACTCGTATATTTTATGACAATGCTAGCATAGAAATAGATACGTCTCCTTGGGTTTTTGGCGCATTTTTACCGTGAAGACTGGCAAGATTTTTAAGTTTTGATGGATTTTTTCATTCTAAAATTGCGAATTTATAAAGTTGCAAGTCTATTTGCGTTCATGTATACATATATTTAATTTTATATCTAACAAATTTATTCACTTCTGAAGTTTGTTCCGTTTTTATCATCTTATAACAGCTTGGTTGAGTATTTTTGATCTTTATTGTCTTTGTGTTAATTTGTCAACAAGTTACATTGATTAGATTTCGTGGTCCGGTTGACCAATCAACGTATTTCAATTAATTAATCTATGTGAAAGGTATTGTTGAGATAAAAAAGTCAGTGTCACGAGCGGGATTCGAACCCACGACCTTCAGCTAAAGACGCCGCTGCTCTACCACTGAGCTATCGTGACTTCGATCCACTCGGGTGCCAACTTCTCATCTCAACCCCACCTTTTCGAATTTTCCTTCCTTTTTGCCATTTTTCTAATGTCGTGTAATCTATTCGATTCTCGGCAACAAATGAAATGGCCACGGAGAGCTTTAGTGAAGATATACTTCATTTTACTTATTAAATCCGTTAGATTTCGTGGTCCGATTGACCAAATAACATTTTTCATTTAATTAATCTTTATGTAAGGTATTGGTTGAGATAAAAAAGTCAGTGTCCGAGTGTATCGAAGTCACGATAGCTCAAGTGGTAGAACAGCGGCGTATTTAGCCGAAGGTCTTGGCTTCGAATCCCGCTCGTGACACTGACTTTTTTTCAAGAAAATTTATCAGTTATGTTCTTTTGTAAATTTATTGATGCGAATTAGCTTCAATACGTTCTAAGTATTATCGGAGCCCTTGTTTTGCCCATTTGGTATAAACATTTTTCCATTTTTTAGTGCACCTATCTGAACCAGCCTTTACTTTTTCGTACGTCATTTCAGCAAACAGACAAATCACTGCGGAACGCGACAAAGAGATATAAATATAACATAATTTACTGATTATCCATTCTTACGAGAAGATTATGTGAACAAGGCTGACTGCTTTGCAGGCTAGCTAACTAGAATATTTACTATCCATTCTGACTTTTCTGAGACTGATCCTGAGGTCAAAGAAGAATTAGTCTGTCATGTTACTCTTTCCCTCCCACAGGTGTCACCACACTTTCTTATGTGACACGATAAAAAAAAATTCAAAAAATTTCCCGGCTTCCTCATGAATCCTTAGTTATTTAATTAATTCCCAAAAAATCTACTTTGTCCAATTTGCGTTTTTAATGCCGTTCTATCTATTTTCCTGCCAAACAAACCCCTTCACCTACCTACATTCTATCGTCGCATCAGTTTATTATCCCGTGTTGGAAAATCCATGAGAAACTCCTCCTCAAACTCCTTTATACTATTCTAGAATTCCAGTTCATAATCCCATACCATCAATCTAGAGTTTCGAACTCGGAGTGCTGAGTACTGTTCAGCAATGTCACCGTGTCTAAACGTCACCACCTCTTTCCTTGAGCTGGAGGACTGCTGGCAAGGTATAGATAAAGTATGGCACGATGGACTCCTTTTTAAGCTCAAGGAGCTCAAGGGCATCCTTTCCAGCATCTACTTACCTTATCACCAAATTGGCGCCTTGCAGCATATATTTTTACGTTTGCGAGGACCATGCACTCTCTACTCCCAGTTACGCTCCCCCAAGTAGTATCATACATCCCAATCTGAACTCAACTTACTCCCATTATATTCCTACACATTCTCTATTTGTTATCATTTCATCCATTCTGTGCATGTCATCTCCCACAGAATCCTTCAAACACACATTTCCTTGATAGAATACTTAGTAGTAGGTCATTTCAGCGTCTTCTCATTGGCCTTTGTGTTATTTTGTCAGCCGCGCCCTTTTTACTATGTTCTTCTACGAGCCCAAGATTGAAAATGCCGAATCGGCTATTGAAAGGCAAAAAAAGCCTCACAAGGCTGTCAGGGATGATCTGAAATGATACTCTTTTGGACGTCACATCAGTGTCTTCATTTGTTGGTCGTGTCTTATTTTGTCAGTTATGTCCTCTTCCCGAAGTAGGATTTACACTTTCGCAAATCATTTCAATATCTTTACTACTTGGTCTGTGCGTTCTTTTGTCAGTTCTGTTCTTATGTTTGTTGTGTTATCTACTTTTGTATTTAATATTTTACACAAAAATGCGACTGTCTAGCAAATCTAATTTTAAAGGGCACAGCAAAAAAATTAATTCTGGACTTTTTCTAACATTTGTACACGGTTACGATTTGTTGTCCATACATGGAAGTTGTGTTATTTTGTCACTTATGTCATTTCGTAAATTTGTCAAATGTATTTTGTGCTAAAAGTTTTAGCGCTTTGGTATTTTATTTGTACCATCGGAGTGCTTGCTTTGTGCATCTGTAATAAACATTTTCCTCTTTAGTGCAATTTTCTGAAGTAGGCTGTACCACATCGTTTGGAATTTAAGTGCTTCATTGGTCAGCTTGTGTGATATTTTCTCAGTTTTGTCCTTTTTCCTGTCTTCGCTAGACTCACCACTGAAAATTACGAAATATTGAAACGGCGTTTGAAAAGCAAAAAGAGCGTGACATGGCAGCAGACGAGGATGATCAGATTCGATCAACGAATGTCGTCTTACTTGACTGTTTATTAAGAATTTAATTAATTAGATTAATTTAATAATTTAATTATAAATTAAAAATAAATTTATGACTTTCTTACTATTGTATAGATTGTTGTATCACCGACAATATTTTCGGATAATACACTCTCATGTCAGTTTACAAGCTACATATTTTCGATTTGTCAAAGTTCTTCGCCAAAAGTTTGAAAACGATGCACTGAACAAACATGTGGCGAATTTCTCGAGAACTACGTTCAGTTCAAATGTCCGGTCGCCGGGTTTTACTTTCTACCAGGTGGATGGAAATGTGAACTGATCAATTGTGCGATATTTTCCTAGAGTTTTCCATGTGAATCGCAGCCTTAAAAATAGAAAGCCGAAGCACTTGTGGTTTTTTTAATAATTAAAAAAAATCTGAATTGAATAAGTTCGAAATATGGTTTAGAAGAAAGCTAGAGGGTCCAGGAATGGAAATATCCATACTCGGACAGAAGAGAAAACTTATCAACCACCTCTTACGTTCACAACTTCTACTTAGACATTTACGAATACAATAAATCCCACGCAAATATTAACTGCGTTAANAACTTTTTTTCATCTCAACTAAAAACTTTAATTAATTGTCATATAATTATAATGTTGAACTCATTAAAACATAAAATCACTAAGATCCGCTTTGCGTGTAGCCATAGAAAGCCTCATAAAGAACCTAAGAGTAAATGAAATTTAAAAACAAAGCAAAGGAATTATAATAGCTAGAAATCGACACGATGACCATTTATAGTGCAGTTACCTTTGCCCACAATATATTATAAAAATAAGTAACGATATTATGCAGATAGATGGTTGATGAAAGCTAGAGAAAGAGTGATTCCATTTCCCTTGTAGTGTCCAATGCAACTGTTCTATATATGCTTGTTTGCGTTGTATAATATCGTTATATTACTTAGATATATAGCGACCTTATGTTGATAGGTAAATATATTTACAAAAAATACAGAGAAAGGGAGAGCGGGAAAACCAACAATGAGCATTTAGTATATCTTTTGCTTAAATTTTCGTATTTCCAAGAGTCAGTGAGTCCTTTATATGTGAAAAATAAGAAATAACTAATGTAAGGCGAAGTTTTATATTTTTATAACATTTTCAGTAGATAGAATACCGAATCCCCGAATAATTCCCATTTATTGACCTTTTAAAAGACCGTCCATGTTTTTTCCATTTAATTTAGGACACACCGACGATTCATTTCTCGTCTCCAGGTTTTTACTCCCGGATCCAAAGCGTGCGTCACTCTTCCGCGGGGTGAACAGGAAGAAAGAGGAGTCGTCCAACATTCACATTCTACGTCGCGCCGCGCCGGCCGTTTTATCGGACCGGACCTAAACGGTTTAAGGAAGGAGATTCGGACGTACGCATTTAATCATAATCTTTCCGAAGAGCAATACGACCCAAATAAGTACACGTTTGAGCCTGGTTCAGAAAATTTTCTAAGAAACTCAAAAAAATCTCTCCGGCTGTGGTTATCTCAAGCAGATTACTCATCTAATAGGGGCGATGGGTCAGTAATTGTGAGGGTGATAGTGAGAGTAAACTGAATCTCACCTAGATAAACATTAAATTAATAGATATAATATAGATAGATAAATATAACATATATATGTTGAGGGAAACAAAGATTCCATTTTAATTATCGCATATTTCTTAATAGAATTTAATTATCAATATATACCTTTCTAGTGTAGACGTTAAACGTTACATTTAATATGTGTACACCACAATATTATGAAAGTTATGAGAGGGTATAGATAATAAAAGAGTGGGAGAGAGAGAGTGATAGGGAGGGAGATAGTAATATTTATTATACAGATATCGCTATGAAAATACATATACACCAGCTGACCCGCAAATAGTCGTCAGTATTCCAGGAGGCTATCCTACATGTCAAATATTACCCCCCCCCCCAAGTGCCAATTTGTTCAAAGTCTGAGTCTCAATTGAAATCGTTTCATTTTTCTGGTTACTTCAACTTTTCACTACTTTTTCCATAAAGTCCGCTGTATCTCATAAAATGTCGATCCTATTGTAAATGTGATTACACCAGTTTAAAAAGCTTTGCGAACTTTGTGAGATTATTTTAATTTTTTATGGTAATCTTGAGCAAACAAAACGCAAATTTGATCGAAGATAAACTTTAGCCAATTGACAAAGGTTTCTAAAGTTTAATGATTTTCTTTTTCTGTAAATACTGACAGATCTTCCCTCGGACAGATAAGTTGCCCTTACTAATATTGGGTTGTCCGGAAAATAATGCAGGATTTTGGTATTAAACAAAAAAAAAGAAACTAGTTACTTTAAAGCAATGTTCTTTAATCAAAATAATTTCCCATACTCTCAATACATTTCTCCCAACGTGTTGGTAACTTATTAATTCCGTCTGAGTAGAATTCAGAATTTTTAGAATTGATAAAGTCAATAAATGCATTTTCCAGTTCCGTTTGATTTTTGAATATTATGTGTTGTAAGTAGTGGTCCAGGTGTCTAAAAAAATGGTAGTCAGTAGGCGAGAGGTCCGGAGAGTAGGGTGGGTGAGGCAAAGTTTCATAGCCAAGCTCCAATAATTTTTGTGACGTTACACGTGACAC